AAAAGCATTAGAGGAACAACACAATAGGTAGACACAATTGAAGACTGACGGAATCACATCACATTGCATATACACAATAGACAAAAACAGGAATACAATTTCACACAACAAGCGGGAATACAAAGACTAAATAAAGAACTCCAGCCCCACGTTGGGCGCCAAAATGTAGCCTTACTTTTATATGCCAAAATATTTGTAGATTGAGAGTAGTTTCTAAAACTGTGCTCGGCTTGCCAAGGTCTAAAAGAAGTGGGTGGGCTCTTTGACTTTATGATTCACTAAATTGTTGGGCGCCAGGTACAAGTACCGTCAAAGGATAAAGGCTACAGTAACTACTCTCCTACTAACTGACTCAGAAAACGGAATTAGGTAACAATAACAATCATATTTATTAACTTATCGGATGTAAAGAGAGCCTTATAATCACACACATACTTAAAACTAAATCACAGTTCACACTAAATTCGAGAAATCTTCAGATCTCAAAACATATCTAACTAGACATCTTAACTCTAAATTACATATACTTATCTAAAACTAAATCTCAACGAATCTCAACTCTCAACGTAAACTCAACTGGGAAGCAACTAATCCCGAACAAAATCTCAACGTAATGCTAAAAGCATAAAGAGTGCAAATCGCACACACAAATCTAAAAGAGACATAAGCTATCTAAGCTCCACAAATCGAATAACTAAAAGCTAAATAAGCTTCTCCAAACACATGACTAAAACACATCATCCACACATCAATGTAAAACGTCAACAGAACATATTATAAAACTGGACGATAAAGGTACTGAAGTCTGAATCATAATCTTGACAAGTCGCGTTAGAGTCATTGAAATCTTGAAGCCATGACAGATCAAATGAAAGACCCTGGAACAACATACACATGGTACACACACGAAAACCTAACCTCTAACTCAGTACATCACATGGAGATATTCCCACCGAGGTTACGGCGGATGTTGAAAGAAGTAAAGTAAAGATCACTCGGGTCTTCAGAAAAGGCTAAACTGACTCCAACCCATGTTGCACATGGACGAGCGCTGGGCTCGCGACCCTAACTCAAATCAGAGCTGTACTTCTACATGACTGAGAACGACTGACTGACATATCCGAGAATCAGAGTAAGGAAAACTCGGTTTGCTCACTATCCGCACTGCTGCGATAGAGACTCGACTGAGGTATGAGAAATACAGAGGAAAAACAGGAAGAACTGGACGGCGCCAGAATTCAAAGTGAGCGACTCAAAACTGACCGCTACAATTGCCATTCCAAATGCCTTGTACATTGCCAATTTCGGCAATGAGCGGAAATAATTTTTCAAAGTTGTTCTGAGTTATTAGCAGTTTGAACTGTGCCGAACTGGCGGCGCACTGTAAAATGCTTGCAAACTATATTCTTTGCAACGTCAGAATCCTTGCAAACAATGTGTTTGCATTGCAAAAAAATTGTTTGCATTGAAAATAAATAGTTTGCAAACTTGCAAAGAACTAGAGTTCTTTGCAAGCTGCAAAGAAAATAGTTTGCAGTACGAGCCTATTCTTTGCCAGCATTTTGCAGTGCAGTGGTCATCGCCAAAATTTTGGTGTTGGTGGTTTGTTGCCGAAAATCTGGCGATGAAGGCTTCATTGCCAAAATGTGGCGATGAACTTTCATTGCCGGCAGTGTGGCAGGGAACCACTCGAACTGCGCCGCTTACCTGACTGCCGCCTACCTGTGAGACGGGGTCCGGGAAATAAATGCAGTTTCCGGACTTTACATATTCACTGTATTGATTAAGTTAAGGAATATGCTTTGTTTTTCGGTACAGCTATGGTAAATGTGGTGATAATTTAACGCTGCACTGGCAATACCAATTACTGATTTACTGTATTGAATTAGGTTTGCCAGTTTAGCATGGTTTAGGTTTGCTTGCTTTTTGACAATACCATTACTGATTTGGCGCCTTCGCCTGCGACGTGCACCCCTGGCACCATCGAAAGCTACGCCGCAGTGCAAGCGTTCTTCCCCCCGCCCCGTGCCCGGAGCGCCGTAGTCCGGGCACCGCATTTATTTCCCGCCCCCCGCCTCACAGGTAGGCGGCAGCTAAGTAGCGCCGCAGTTCGAGTTGTGCCTGTTCGAATTGGACATAATTTCAGGGGAACTCAGATATATCTTTCCAAACATCGCCAAAATTTGGCAATGGATACTGCCTTTGGAATGGCAATGACCTACTTACTGTCGCTGAAAAGGTATTATTTTTGACCCATTGCCTTTGCACCGTTCATCGCCAAAATGGCGCTTCATTGCCACATATGTATTGATCATCGCTAAAAAATGGCAATGATCTATAGGAAGAGGTGTGCGAACAGTTCGAATTCGAATGAATCGAAACTGTCTCGATTCGATTCGAATTAAACAAGGCACTTCGAACTCGAACAATTGGGACGCATCAAAATTTTGAAGTTCGAAATCGAAACAACATGTGCAAATGGATCGCACGCTGGGTAACTTATACTAAAGGGAAGGTTTTTCATTGGATAAGAGGATGGTTGGCCAATCTCTTTGCTTTTAGAGAGAATCTGAGCCCCAGCACTTATTGGCTGGCCCATTTTAATGGTTCATAACATCTCCTAGAATGTTAGGAAATGATTCGATTCGCCTTCGAAATAGTAAGATTCGTTTCGATTCGGTGTAAAATTTTAAGATTCGAGGGAAAAAAATCCAGATTCAATTCGACTCTGAAAGAGGGTGATTCGCACACCTCTATAAACAGGGTATTCCGCTGCAAGCGCAAGCCAACTGGAACCTAAAGAAGAAAAGCAAGACTGCTCCCTCTGTTTCCCTCTGCGCGCTCATAAGCTGACCGCCACAGCCACGCCACCTTTGGCCAATCAGCATTCAGGAAGAAACAGAGCGGGTAGTCATGCATTTTTTAGGTTCGCATTGTGTTGTAGCGGAATACCCTATTACTTTAAAACAAGCTAGGCACGCCCTTCCGCCAAACAAAGTTGCCTGCTTCACTTTGCTCCGCTGGCAACTCCGTTCAGCAGGGACCGGGCCTAGGGGGCCGTTCACAAATAACGTCACGCAAATTTTGGGCGGTTTTGAGCATAACCCCCTCCCCCACGTCACGCGGCTAACCTAACCTTCTAATCCTTTTAGGATAGGTCCAACACGCGTACAGAGACCCCCTCCCACCCTCTTCAGATGCGTGACGTAATTTGTGCCTCTAGCTTGGCCCGCCTGCGGCCCGACCTGTAGGTCACTTGGCATATTTGCGTGACCTAAGGCAAGGGCGGGCTGAAGACAGTGTACAGTGAGCGTCCAAGTTACTGTGTTGATGTGCGCCAGACCAGGTCTCGGGCTCACGAAACACTGTTACGCTGCAACGCGCCTGGCTTGTGGCGCTGACACCCGAGTCGGGCATAAGGCCCCAAGAGTAACAAATTTTGCCAATCGGCCCCTCTGGCGCCTAAACGGTTAGAGATGGGGCCAAACGGATGAAATTATGGCCCCACCGAATCTACTTTGACGAGTAACTTGTAAGAGGGATGTTAAAAAAGTGAATCAGTTTTGTGCTCTTTTAGTTTTGGTTTGTTTGACTCGTCAAGTTTTGAGCTAGAGGGCCCAAACTGAAATCAGTTCTTGCACCGCCCGCCGCCAGGGCGTCCAGCGCGCTGGCTGCACACCTCGGTTTGTTTGGATCGCGTTGCTAGGCGACGCGCCGCTGGCGTGGGGGGACCGCGGAAGCGCTGAAAGGGTCTATATTGTCGGGTGTGGAATACTTTCATGGCAGTTCGACACTCGAAACCTGTCGTCTGATTCAGAAGATCGTTCAAGGGGGGCTTTCCTATACCTCCCGTATAGCTCCGTCCTTGTTGCACTCATGGGGCAGGTATAGGAGAGCCTCTCTTGAACGATCTTCTGAATCAGACGGCTGTAAAGAAAGATTACGTGGCGGCTGTAAGGCCTCCTCGGGAATTTTTATCATCCAGTTGATATTTCAAAGAATCATTTCAATACCATTTCAGGGTCCAATAAACGTCCACGTGGAGGCATGGAACACGGCCAACCTGGTGCCGAGCTGCGTCCTTGCAGTTGTGTCCCGCTACGGTAGGGCCTACGCCGCTGAGAGTTTGACAGCGTTCGCCCAAGCGGTTACCAACGTCAACGGCTCGTACCGCCAGCTGCGCATGACACCCACAATCGAGGCCTGGTTGCGCACTATGGCCAACACGGCAAGGGACACCAATAGGGCTGGCCTTGCTGGCCTCATCGGGAAGCTTTTCGCGTGCGTAGCCACACGCATCGTGCACAGACGGCCGTGGTGAAATTAAAACAACATAATTTTAAGACGTTCTAATTTTTACCCATTGAAGATGCACATGCTACCAACACATATCTCGGTCGGAATACGCCCTCAAAAGTATCCTCAACCATTACTTGAGCCCGGAAAAAAACAGAAAAACGCCTCGCTTTGGTTATGTCAAGCCGAGCCCCGGGAAGAGGCAACTGACCTCACGGGCATTGATTTTAGGAGCCGGACCCAGTAAGTGACATGCTAACTCGATTTCGCACCTCATATTCCTACATAATTATCAGCCCTTTGCGGCTCTTGTTCCTTGTAAACAAGGAAGATGTACGAAAGACCACGTCTCGTCTCGTGTAACAGGTTTCGCGATGTCTCACGTAACATTGCTACGCTGCGACGTGCCTGGCATACATCTACCTAGGCCTGTGGCGCTGACACCCGAGTCGGGAAAAGGCACAGTCGTCAATGGGCATTTTGCTCCACGGGGTTTTATTATGATTAGTTACCACACCGGACGCACTCAAATATCGGAGAAGAAACGTTAAAATGTTGTGGGGACATGTCCTTGTAGAAAACGCTCTCTGGCGCATAAACGGTTCAAGATAGAGCCAAACGGACGAAATTTTGGGCCTACGGAGTGTGCAAATGTGAAAGACGTAAATTGTCATATTACTTCAGATACGTGAGACGGCAAGATGTTAGTCATGGGCCCTGATTTCGGACAAAATTAGCTAAAATCGGTTGAGATTTGAGGCACTATGGGCAAGGACTTACCGAATGATATCTGTGTCAAATTTTTCGCTGATCATGGTGAACCACCCCAGACATTTACAGACTGTCCGAATCCATGGACTTAAAATGCTGTCATTTCTAACACGTCTTTATTTTGAACAGACACGGCGGCTTTTTTTTAGCAGATGATACCTCAAATATTTTCACTAAATATAAAGAATACATAAGTAACTTTAAGGTGATACAGGACTGAAACTGGAAAAGTCCGTCAAAAAGCAGCTATTTTGAGTTTTAAATCAAACTGAGAATTAAATTAGGAAAAAGCTCTCTATTTCATTCTAAGTTGGTTTATTGCGGTTCT